CCCCCCCCCCCCCCCCAAAAAAAAAAAAAACAAAAAGTAAATCTTCTTTTGTCATGAAATTTCTCTAAGCATTCTTGCACACAACAAACTATTTTGCTCTCTTGAAGCCATCTCTCCTTATATTTGAAAAGATAGTATCTTTTTTCTTCTCCTCAAAGATACATCATCTTAAATGAAACTTCATCCAAATTCCAGCACTTAACATGTGCACAAAAATGAATGTGTAAATTACTCTATGGAACCTAATCTTATCTAAAGCAAAAAGCTTTAATTGAATCTTGGACCGAAAAGAACTAATTAAACACGTGATGACTCTTTTTAGCTTACCCATCAACCACTTGAATTAGATTATTCCCCCACCAAAGACTGTTGATAAGTGAAAATTTGTAGCCATAATCATAGTTTCAATTTGCAAGAGAGCAAATGTAGCCAATTTGCACCAGTAGCAGTAGAAAAAAGATCAATCTTTTTGGAAAAAAAACTTACGAGCAAAGTGATTGCAAGTCTTTTTACAAAAGGTAGCTCTTTTTGTAATTATGGTTACAAAAAGTCTACAGTAAATAACTAATAGTTGGATCTTTTTGCAACAAAACTAATAGTTACAGCTACAATAATAAGTTCATACTGTAAATAACAGTAGTTGGATCTATAATTTTCTACAAACCGAATACCCACTACCTAAGTGGATTTGGATCATCTCCATTACTTAAAAAATAGTTGAAATACCGCTACTCTTAATCATGATCATCTATTATTAAACGGGTGGTTGTAATTCATTCCTATTTTGTGTTGTCCCTTCTTAGTTTTTGCATAAATGAGTAGCAGGCATCATCACTTAGAAAATAAAAAATTTATGATTAAGTGGTCTTTCCCCTATTTTTTGGAAGTACAGAGATTCCAAACCTTTGTCTACTAGATGTGACATCCTTCTAGCCAAAAAGATGTGCTAATACCCAAGATCACAAGAAAGTATCCAGTGTACACAAGCCATAGCATTAATGATGCACCAAAAGGCTATCAAAACTCAGATCCAAGTGTCGACATCTCTTTTATGCACTATTAATGTAATGGATCATGTGCGCTTGTTACTTTCTCCAAAATCATACTCAAACACACAAATAGCCACAGTACGCATTTGATTGGAGGAGGCATAAGCAGTTAGATCCGAAAACAATAGCGACTACTGCCTATTCTACTTTCCAAAAAGGTTGACCAATAATTAAATCATATTCTTAAATGTTTCACGCTAATTCTATTAATCAAAAATCTAATTAATTGTAAATCACTTATCAACAGCCTTTAGTGGGGAATAATTTGATTCAAGTGGTTGATGGGTAAGCTAACAAGAGTCATCAGGTGTTTAAATAGTCCTTTTCAATCCAAGACTCAATTAGAGCTTTGTGTTTTAGATAAGATTAGGTTCCATAGAATAATTTACACATCCATTTTGGGCACATGTTAAGTGATGGAATTTGGTTGAAGTTTCATCTAAGATGATGCATCTTTGAGGAGAAGAAAAAAAGATACAATATTTTCAAATATGTATACACACACACATACACATATGTATAACACTCTCAATGATAAAACAAAACTCAAGCAATCAACCTAATATGATATAAAAGATGACCACTAGAAATATATCTAAGCAAATAACCAATAATAAGACAAACAAATTATGAAGCTCCCAACATAGAAAATTTTGAGCAAGCCATCAAACCTTGTCGAATTCCTCCCCTTCACTATCGGGTTTCGCTGCGTCGATCTCCTCCATTCCCCTCCCCTCCCTCCGATAAGTGAACCCGCGATCATTGTTATATCAAGTCTGGATCCGATTCGAAAAGAGAGATAAATGGGAATTGAGAGAGGTGTTGGAGTGATTGCACATCCTATTAAATTCTTAGTGTAGAATAAATTGTATCTATTCATTCATTGAATCAATGAGGTCATAGCCAAATGCAACATCGTTAAAAAAAAGACCTTCAATTGGTAATGGAGGGTTAAATTAGGGTTTAGTTCTGAACGTAATCAAACTAAATTAAGGTGAGATACCTAATTTTCTTGACGAGGATGGTCTGGAAGCTGCGAGCGAGCTCCTGGAACCGGATCCACATCTGGAGGCTATTTCCGGTGACGACCCAAATCCCGCAAGTACACGTCATCATCACCGGTGGAGGAGAAGGTTTTAGGAAGGAGATGCGGCGGAGCAACGGACTCATGATCACCGACGGAGGATCGGATCGCAAAGGGAAGAGGAAATGAGGCTTTTCTTCGCCTCGAAAGTTGGATTCTAGATACTAGTGAAATAATTCTTCAATAATTGCTTAGTAGCCCCTCACATTTTGTAAATTGCATATTAGTCCTTCAAATCATAAATGATCTTACGAGATAGTTCCTCTATTAGTGTTTCAGTTAAAAAAATCTAATTATGGTTCGATTAACTCTTAGCTCTACATCTACAATCACAAAACTACCCGCCTTTTGTAAAGCTCAACTTTAGGATAGGGTTATTTTCTAACTATTGGAGGACAACTCCAGTGAGTTTCTCTTTAAGCGTGCATAACCTCTAAACTCATTAAGAAATAGGCTGAAAAACATAATAGAGGGGTAAATTGGTCAATTCCTCCAACTGGTAGATTTGATAGAATATTTTCCTCAATTCTAATGTGATATTTAACTTGAAGGACCATTTTGCAAGATCCTCTATGATTTTAGGGACAAATATGCAGTTATTAAAGATTTAAGGGACTAATAATATAAAGTTCCTAAGGTAATTCGGGGGATTAGTATCAAAATATGAAGATGTGAGGGGCTAATACAAAATACCTATGATTTTATGGTTTAAGATACTAATATCTAGAAGAATCCTTTAATTTAAGGTAGCCCATCAACTTGTGTGCTCAACATTACAGTGGAATAGGTGCATCACATGACAAAATTGAAGATGAGGGAGCCAGAAAATGTCAATGTGTGGCAATATAATCTTTCGTATGAATCTCGATCAAGAAGATTATATGGCTACTTCAGAGTTCTACGAAGATTCTTATTTGTCTTCTTTGGATGTCAATAAAATTACCAACGCGAAGCATGAGATACTAGTGTGTATGGCTACATCATTTCCTTATAATTTTAATTTTATTTATTTGTTTAAGCCTAGTGCAAATTGTAACTCCAAGTTTTTTAATTTTAAAAATGAACCAAACAACTACAACTGCATGCAAGAATAATCGCAATGACTACAGATTGCATTCGACTGACATTTATACTGCAATAGTAATTGCATGAACCAAACAGTAGTTTGATCTAAGCAAAAGAGACTACTGCAAATTGTTCAACCTAATATAGGTAGTGAACGATTAACCCATTGATTTATCTCCTAATCAGGACCATTGCGGAGGCAATCGAGAGAGCCAACAGTTCAACATCTCGGTATAATGACGAAGACATAAACATAGCCAACAAATTTTCCTTTCGGTGGGTATAAGATAGAGTTGTTAGGGAGAGATATTGAATTGCATGCCCTAGATATGTATAGTGCAGACAGTCCACTGATTTCAAGCAAAAAAACCCTAAAAAGCATATCAATAAGCAAAAAGATGCTAACTTTGACAGAAAAGAACAGAGATTTCGTTTATCGTTACCTCGTCGGCGATCATGGCGATGAGAGCGGAGTTGTTGGTTCGGATCTGAGCCCTACCCGCCATAGTTATTGTATAATACCTACAATTTGATGTAAGAGATGAATTTGTAGCGGATCTTAAATGGATCAAGATCCGAAATCAAGCGAGATCCAATGGTTACCTTTATTTAGAGAGAGAGAGAGAGAAGAGGGAGCGCTTCCCCTAGTAATCGAATATTAGGTTTTCAGTTGATAAAAGAAAAAGCGGGGGAAATTTGATGAGATTCACTTACCAATAGCTTTATTATTGGATAAGAAGATTTAGGGGACAGAGAAGCGGCAGGGGACAACGTCGAAAGGATTTGACGGCGGTGAGAAAAATCGTCGGTGAGGGGTATCGATCGAGGGGAGAAATACCAGGGATTTTTTTTTTTTTTTTACGGAAATTAGGTTTTTTCGCAGTCCCTTTAAAAGCCTTGAAACATTATGGGCCCAGAGCGTCCAAAGTGAATTTAAATAGGCAGCCCAATTTAATCATCATGAAGTAAAACCTCATCATGAGTTTTAAGGGGGGAAAAGCCGTAAACTATAAATTTAAAGTTATTTATGGCTAATAAGCAGAGGCTTTCATGGATATCATAAAACTATCATATATCTTTGGGTTCATTTGAAATTTTATAATATTTTCAGACGGTTTTTTTTGGTTTTTCGTTTTTTTTCCCCTTTTGTGTTTCTTATCATTATTAGTACGTTTTTTGTTTTGTTTTTCCTTTTGTGTTTTTTATCATTATTAGTCCTTTATGCTTCCCGTATTTTTACATTTTGAAATATCAAATCATAAAATTGTTCATTATTATAAAATTGCTATTAGGTTCATTATTAGTTCCTGGTACTCCTCATGTTTTTACATTTTGAAATTAGTCATCAAATCATAATTTTGCAATTAGTTCCTCAAGTTTTACATATTGACATCTTCATTATTCCCTCGTATACATCTTGACATCTTTGCTAACTCTTCTCTTGATCGAAATAACTTTATATTTTAAAAGTAGTCATGTAATCTACTTTCCTTTATAACTAAAGGAAAACTTAATGATGAACAGTAAAATTTCTTATTATCCACGTATTCTATCAATTTCCCTCAATGGTTTCTTTTTTGCTCGCAACTTCCCCACACTATCTTCAGCCACGTTTTGCAGTTGCCTCAACTTCCCCACAACCCTAGCCCTAAAATCCCTCTAAACTCGCTAACATCCATTCATGGATCCCAAACCCATCTATCTCGGGAGCGCCGGCGGTGGCAATGCCGACGAGTTCACGATCACTCGCTCCTCCCGACGCTACTCGCTTCTCTCGCCTCTAATCGCATGGTTCTCGATGTCTGCAATCAATCACTCATCTTATCTTTTTAACTCTTTAGGTTTTTTTTACAAACGATCGAAGATCCCTCCCCCCCCCCCCCCCAATGCCTACGATGATCTGCGTCGACAAATCGGAGTGGTGCATGAGGAACGAGTTAGCTCGTCGCCCGACTTGCAGACGCGGTGTATTTGAATGATGAAGACGCGAAAAGCGCGAGCCAACAACTTTTTATTGTCCTTGCAAAGGATGAAGCGGCTCCCCTTTATCAAGGATTTTCAATCTTTAGCCTGTATAATTACTCTTTTCCAATCTCGAAACATGTTGATTGGAAGAAGTGAGTGCTAGAAATTCTCGCTTGCCGTGCTTCTACTTCATTTAGTGAAATAGTAAATTATGGCAAAATTTGTAATTGATGTGTGAATTGTTGGATTCATATGTTATTTTACTTTAATTATCTATTTTCTCGGATTTTTTCAGCGTTTTCTTGGGACAAGCTTCAGTATCATTCTTCATCCAGCCGAGAAGCGAAGGCGGAGGATTGATTGATTCATCTTGAATCTTCTCGTATCTAGAAGGTGTGAATCCATTTCCATCTGTTCAATTTTTGTTTTTTTTGTAAATTTATTTAAATAAGTTGGAGTAGTTTGCTTATTTGATCGTGATATCCAATATTGTTATTTATTTGCGGGAAAATAAATTAACAACGAAAGAAGGAAGTATTAATACTTTTGATGCTTTTCTGTGATTTGTTTCAATAGACATTTTTTGCTCGACGGATGAAATGCTTTCGATGAAATTACTCGATCAAAATATATGGACATTATAACAACTTATTTTTTGCGAAAAGAATAATCGATCACATTTTTTGCGAAAGAAGGAAGTATTAATGCTTTCGATTATCCATTAGAGAAAGAATTGTGCTCAGAATTACTCGATGAAATGCCTATGGAAGATGCTATTGATGCTAATAAACCGAACAAAGAAGTCATCAGATATGCACAATGCCTCCACCTAAGTCTCAAACTACACATTTAGGTAATTTTTCTCACTTCTCGAGGCCAATCAGGGGCGATGTGGGAGAATCATCATCTATCAAGACAGTAGGATCGAGCACTTGTGGGAGTAACCAAGTTCCAAATCAAGGTGATGTGAGCAACAATTTGAGCAGGTGTGTATTTGAAAAAGGGTCAAAAGGCAAAGGACCGATGATTTCGGTTCAAGGAGTTCACGCAAATACATTTGATACTACTATGACTTCTTCATCCGGTGGGCCTGGTTGTAGTTTTGGGAGGACAACAGGGAAGCAGAGTATGAGCAATCAGAACAACAAGAGGAAGGGGAGAGATGCAGAGGAATCTGAATGCCATAGCGAGGTTGGCTATGAAAATTTATGTGTAATTTATATAGAATTTTCGTTTTATCAGTCTATTGATAACTAAATCTTTAACTTGCAAATTTTGTAGGAGGCTGAATATGAATCGATTGAGGCTAAAAAGCACACTCAACAGTCTACATCCACCAGAAAAAGTCGTGCTGCTGAAGTTCATAATCTATCGGAGTGGGTAATATCTATTGTTGTTTGTTGCCTTGAATTCGACACTTCGGTTTCTTTTGTATTGTGCTATTGCCTTGCATTCGATACTTAGGTTTATTTTGTATTGTGCTCTGACTATCAGTTCCTTTAGGTTTCTTTTGTATTGTGCTCTAACTATCAGTTCCTTTTGACTACAGAGAAGAAGAGACAGAATTAATGAGAAGATGAGAGCATTGCAATAACTCCTTCCTCATTGCAACAAGGTAAAGTAAACATGAAAATTTTATGTTTTCCTTATGAAATTGTCTTTTCCATTTTGATATAATTAATATGTTCAATGACAAGTTGCATTATTCTCTGATATCAATGCTCTAAAGTTGCATTATTTCTCACCCCTTATCTTTGCAAGTTGCATTATTTCTCTGATATCAAGTTGCATTGTTTCTCACTCCTTACTTAATTACAAGACTAGAAGGGACAGGAGACTAGCACAAATAGTATTGCTTCCATATTTTTGCGTGGTCACGTCGACTTGAACACAGGTAAGTGTTGTGGTCCTATGTTGTGCCGTGAACTTGTAGCCTTTAGTCTTTCCAATCTTTTGAAGTTGAATATTGGATAATTTTCTTGGAGTGCAATGACAGTAATGTTAAACCTGTAGCAGTTAAATTGAACCAACTCTGCTATGATAAATTCGACGTAAGTCTATAAAATCTTTCATGGAGTTTTGTTTATTGAAATTGTTGATTGTTTTCTGTGCAGAGCAAAGCTTGACAAGCATGACAGACTCTTGGAATTTGTTCGAAAACTCAAGTCTTCATGTGTTGAAACGGTGGAGTCAGGCAAAATGACTAAGGATCTTGCCCTTCTTGTCCATGGTCCTAAGTTAGTATTCTCATTCCGTGTTCTTTACTTATCTTATACATCAACGGTTCATGAATCACAATATATGAGTCAACATGATTTGTTCAATATTCGATAATCAAAATTCACTATAACTTCAATCTTCTGTGATAAATTGATTGTAGTCTCAGACTTCATCACCTTTATAATTGCTAGAATAATCTGATAATTCTAGGTAGTTTTTCATTAATCCTTTAATAAATTTCTTTCTTCGCATTGTAGCAACTTGTGGCTCAATAAATACGGTTAACAAGTCTTAATAACTGACTAATAGCATTTCCTCATTTTGCTTTTACATATTGTTTATATTGCGTTTTTGCTTTTTTGATTATCTGTATTATCTTTTCTTTTAATATGGTATCAAGAGAGTTTTACCTAAGCATAGAGGAATTTATTGATGCTGTTGCGCAAAACCTGAAAGATAAGATTCAAGTGGCAACGACAACGGTTGTATAGGTATGTTCAATTCTATGTTTTATCTACAAATGCAAAATGTTTTCAATGAGTAGGTAGGATATAGTTTCTAAGTGGTATAATCGTTTCACTTGCAGATATTAGTTGTTTGCATGTCAATTTTGTTCGAATGGCACAAACAGTAATAGTGAATCAGTGACCCAATTGAGGTCTTAGTGACACGAGGATGAAGCTAAGGACTTACCAATAATAACAGATACTAACAAGCAGAAGAAGCTGTATAAATATTTATAATCAATAATTTTGGTACATATACACAATGTTATACACAATTATTAATGTGAACGATATAGATTTTGAATTGTGGATAATTGTTGTATTCTTGCCGGAATATTTTCCTGTGAGTCATCACAAGCAGTCACTTGGTTGGGATTGGGCAGAGAAAGCATGCTGATGCTTATCTTTAGGACTATCCACTAAGTAAAACACAACTACCAACTTATCCATGTTGTGAATGGTGGTGGCACGTATCGTATATTGTACATTTGAACATTCACTTGATCAATGTATCGAAGATTTTTATGTGTATAATTGTGTTCTTATCCCCAAAATTTTGGGATAAAGTCTTTGTTGTAGTTGTTAAATGTAATTGCAATAGATTTGATCTTTTTTATTTGTATATGTAAAACATTTGATGTTTTATTCAAAAATTTCTACATGTTTACAGGAGCATATATCAGATCATATATCACAGTTGTCAGGTTAAATGCCAGGTTCAATGATTAACCCATAATGTTGAACTACACAACTATATACATTACTTGAAGGGATAAATAAGCAAGAGATTTAACTATCTGTGTTAAGAGTTTTAATTATCTATGTTTCTATGTTTAAATATGGTCTTCAAGTATATGATGAATTACAAACAAATACCTATCTGCATATCCTCATTAGTTATATATGATGGACTTCAAATATGTTTAAGATAAATTTATCGTGACAAAACAATATCCTCATTGGTTATATATGATGGACTTCAAGTATGTTTAAGATAAATTTATCGCGACAAAACAAAAATGAGATGAGGAAAAATTGCGCACAAAAAAATCTGTAAAGATGCCGTGCTTAGCACGGGATGAATACTAGTTGTTATTAAGTCCTCAAGATGTAGTCCCTCACTCGCTAAATTGCTATTAGGTCCCCCAGTTCATATAATTGTTAGTAAGTCCTCAAGTTTTACATCTTTACTAACACTACTCTTGATTATCATGAAATTTCTATTCCGCCCTCAAGTTTTACATCTTGACATCATGCTAACACTATTGATTCCAGGATATATTTTGAAATTAGTCACCAAACCATAAAATTTTCTATTAGGTCCTCAAGTTTTACATCTTGACATCTTGGACTCCCTAAGATAGAAGTTTGGCTCGGCCACTGATTAGAGGAATTATTTTTGAAATGATATAAGAAACAGGGAGACATATGGTTTGAGCAACAAATTTGGGAACAACTTATGAGAAGAATTGAGGGACCCAATCCAAATCATTTAAGAAAAATGATCTGAGGAACTAATTTCAAAACATTTAAGATGCAAGGGACAATTACGAAAAATGGCCACCGTATCCAAATCAGATTTCGAGAAAAGAAAACATGTGATAAAAAAGAAAACCTGTCCGACTCAGCTGCCGCACGCCCTTGTCACGTGCGCTACCCGTCGTCCCTCACCGGCGGCGCAAGCCCCATCCCCAATCGGCCCTCTTACGATAAAAAAATCAAAATCAAAATCTAGGGTTAGGGTTTCCTCTCAAGACCGTCACTTTCACTCAAAATCTAGGGGTAGGGTTTCCGATGGATGGCGTTGAAGACGACGCTCGATATGCACACAAACGCCATCACCAAACTCAACCCCAATTCTCCCGAAACTTCACCGATCAAGAGGGCGACGACGAGTACGAATCGAATTCAGACGGGATCAAGAGCGACAACGAAGGCGAAGGAGCGATCGGCGTCGATGAAGACGATGGCGACTACAATTCGTCGATGGAGAGCCGAGGGAAGCGTCGAAAGCTAGATAACTTCGAATTCGTCCCTCGAAAGCCGGCGCCTTTGCCGGTCGTCGCTAATTCGAGGAGCTCTGGGGTCAAGAATTCGCCTCCGGATTGGTCGGAAGATTCGACCTTTGTTCTTCTTGAGGCCTGGGGCGATCTTTTTGTAAGCAATGGAAGGAAATCTCTTCGATTTGATGAGTGGAGCGAGGTCGCGAAGAAAGTCAACCAGGATTCGAGAATCACTAGATCGGATTCGCAGTGTCGAAATCGGTTGGATACTTTGAAGAAGAAGTATAAGAAGGAGAAAGCTAGAATGGCGGAGATCCCAAATTTTAAGAGTGATTGGATTTACTTCAAAAAGATGGATTCTTTCATGTCATCTCCATCTCCAGCGCCAGTTCAAGCGACAAGGAGTTCACCGTTGAGGTTGAAGTGCGGGGTGGATGCAGGTGAATATGTGTTTTCAAATTCTAGGGTTTACTTGAACCGAGCTAATGCGATGGATGAGATGAGAGATAGTCCAGGGGATACTGGAACTGGCGATGAGGAGGGCGGCGATGATGATGATGGTGATGACTCTGATGGGCTTCCGCCAACGATGAGTGAGAAGAGGAGGAGAGGGGGGTCGGGGTCATTTCCGTCTTTGTCGTTTAAGATGTTATCGGATTCGATACAGAAGTTCAGTGAGGTTTATGAGAAGATTGAGAGCAATAAGAGGCAGCAGATGGTGGAGTTAGAGAGGATGAGAATGGAGTTTCACAGGGATTTGGAGGTGCAGAAGAGGCAGATATTGGAGAGGGGGCAGGCGGAAATTGCAAGGATTAGGCAGGAGGAAGGGGAAGACGAGGAGGAGGAGGAAGAAGAAGAAAGGATGGTTGGAGAGGGTGATGGTGATGAGGACGAAGAGATGAATGGTTCTGCTGAGAACTTGAGCAGCTAAGGTAGCATTCACTATCCTTTTTTTTGTTATGCTGCTTCTATTGCCCATTTTAGTTTCTCTTGGGCTTATTATATGGTTGAGCTAGTTAAATATGCTTTGTTGGTGCATTTTTCTCATGCTTGGTAGATTTTCAGCTACGTATTGGTGTTTTGAGTTTTCATCAGAGACATAATGAATGCATAATGAATGCAGTTCAGTTCCATTGTGATTAGTTTTGGTTTGAAATTTTAAACTTATCATAGTAAGATGTATAAAGAAAGATCTTGAAGGTTGATTGGATAAATTTCCTCAAGTTGGTTAAAGATAGTATTTATCCTTTCATTTGGTCTTGTACTCTTGTTGCATAAAGGTTAACTCGTTATTCAAATTCAACTATATTGTTTTTCATTATTCAGTCTAAACTCTGAAGACATTGGAAGGGAAATAAACCCGTAGTCTATTCTGTCTTTGAAAAGCTGATGATGATCTTGAAGTTGATTTTTCTACTGAGAACCTAATTACTTTCTTTCTCGACCCAGATGAAATATCATTGATATG